ATTACTTTCACTAATATGTCTTACTGAACTAGAACACTAATCAACAAATTTTATATACAGATGATATCTGAAATGTACAAGCAATATCAATTGAGCAATATTTTTTTCAAAATAGGATTCACAATACTTTCATATAGAGGGGGCCCAAGGTGATCATGTAGGGCATCTCAAAGTAACACACCTATCTGACAACACCACAAAAATTCGGTGTTTTGTAATGGGCTATGTAGAATTGAGATTGTTTTTGTATAAATATATTTTGTATTTTTTTGAGTCAGCAGCAGCCAGCTACATATTCAACAAAAAGTGTTCATGTCACGGTGAAATAGGCACTAGAATATCACATCACACCCACGGTTTTGATTCATTCAAATTAGGTTCACTTTCAAGAGATCAGTGTTTAAAAGGGTGCACACCCAATGTAGAGGCCTGTCGTACATTGATTGCAAATAAGCAACAACAACACCAACCTAGATATGCCACAATAAGTGTTTGCACTTTATGTCCATTGTGATTGTGGCAAGCATCATGTGGACTCTGACTCTGGGGAAGTCCTCACAGGGGCCAAATGCGTGATACTCGCCTCGCCATTTCTGGTATACGTATCAGTGCCGCATCGACCCTCTAGTGCTCCAAGATACTGGGACTAGATCGTTTATTCTACAAGTAGTTTGTTCCATTTCCGACGGGAGTGTAGACGTAGGGCGCGAGGTCTTCTGGCAGAGTGTAGCCGTCCAGCTCTTGTGCCAAGGCGAAGTAGCGTCTACGAACGTGGTGAGCCGAAGACTTCGGCTGCCTGTCCCTGGTGAAAATGCCCTTTTTGTTGCCACCAACCCGGGCCGAAGCTGTTAGACATAAACGTGAGCACCGATTTTAAGACAGCAATGAAACCAGAACAGAATGACGGTGTGGACTACAAGAATAGTGTGGTACTCACTCTGGGCTGTCATGAAATCGGCGAAGTTCCAGATCATCTCACCGATGAACCAGCCCTTTTTCCGAAGATTGTCGAATGCCTTGAAGTTCTCGGACATGAGAGATATCTGGTACTCCTCGGACCAGACGTACTCGGGCAGCTGATGCAAGCCGCTGTAGGTGTCAGCGCCGTACTCCATCATGAGGAACGGCTTACTGGGGTGCTTGTGCCGCCAGTTCGCCATGTCGTTCTCCGTGTTCGTGCGGACCACCTCCAGGCGGCCGGAGTCTCTGTACCAGCCGTAATACCTGTTGACGCCCACCACGTCCAGGTGCTGGACCACCTTGTCCTCGTAGAACTGTCGGGAGATGGCGGCGGTCACGGGCCGCGTCTTGTCCAACGTCTTGACGTACGCTACCACGTTCCTGTGGGGGGGG